GACCCCATATGTCGGGCATCAAATATCAGCTTCTGGCATAACTTTCCTTGTATTTATCAGAAAATCATGATCTAGACCTATATTCGTATATTTTTTTTATTTTTTGAAGAGGGGGGGGTTTGAATCCATTTTTGGCACTGAAAATCCTCCCAAAAGAAGTCCAAATGGGTTCAGTGCAAAATCTGAACTCTTTTGAGGAATTTTGGCTCTTTATTGCAAATCAGGATTTCTAATCTATAAAGTCGCCGACACAGTAACAGTGTATTTTTATGATTTACTGCGCTGAGATAAATCTGGTACAAATTTATTAGAGTGGAGCACCCAGTTATTATGGCTTGCAAGATTAGCGATTTAACCGCTTTTCCACGCTGAAGCGTTCAACGAGCAGGCATTCCTATTTGCCATTATCTCGTCTATGTAATTGTCGACCAGAGTTACGACCTGGCTTAACGAACGAAGATTTTGGAGAGTTTTTCTCGTCTGTTGCAGAAAATCACGTTGCCAGAGCGGCTTATGCAAGAGACTCTCACACACATGTTGAAACAGACATTCTGACCGCCTAGGGAGCTCATATCTTGGGATGTTACTTATTTTTATTTTGTTCTTCCTTGGCAGTTTATTTCAGCAAGAGTGGTTGCCTGATTGTTGTAGAGTAGTTTCACAGTGGAGGCTTGTATTTCACTAAGTCGGTCCTAAAAAGGTTCGACGTACAAAACGTTAGGAACTTGATATAATAGTTAATGACGCGGCAATCTAGTTGTGGTGGTTGATCCTTTAATGTCCGACATCGACTGACTGACCAACTCACTGAGCTACTTACTTAGCGACTGCTACTACTACTACCTATTATAGGTGGGAGAGTCTATTAACTATAGGATAGGTGTGTTCCAGTATAACACTGATAGATTTCATGTTGCAAAGTCTCCCTGTCGACTGTCGCCTATTGACGGTAGTTGATTCCACAGAAGATGAATACATTTTAAAAAAATCCTTTTATCTCTTCTGTGGACCCTGAAGGATCTTTGAAAAATGATTAGCCTGTCCTTATCATGTGGCCGTCCACTTCAAGAGCTTCTTTTGTTGCCCCAATACTTGCAATCCTGGCTGAATTGCTGTGTGATATCAATCCTCTTGCATGGCAGTGAATGCTAGACAATCGTCCGAGAGATGAAAAGAGAACGAGAGGCAACAGAAATATGGTTCCGCGGAATGATATTGAGATTTCCATGAACGGAGCGAATAAGCAACGAGGAAGTTTCACACAAAATGGCAACAAGACAAACACTTATGCATTTGAATCAGGCAGACAGTTTAAAGAAGATCTAATGAGAAAGGAGGGCTTGGAAAACTTAACTCTCACAGGGCATATTGAGAGCAAGAAAGATAAAGGAAGGCAGCGAGTGAACGGCCGAACAGAGAGCAGGGGATTTGGCAAAGGGAGAAACACTGCTACTTACTCTCTCTTATATACGCACAAAATATTCTTCTTGGCAGAGGTCAGCCTGGAATGAGAGTAACTTTCCTAATTAAGTGATTAAAAAATGGGTTCGCCATGGAGAACAATTTAAATGTTTAATGTAGGTAATAAATGCACTGGAGAGTATAATAACATATAAGACACCAGTGGCAGATTGTGTCTAAAAAAAAAAAAAAAAATATTGGTTACCAGAAGACAAATGGCGCCAATCCACAACTAAAATGCTATCATTTCTCATAACGAATAAATAAAATATTCAAGAAACTACATATGAAAAAAATGTACAATTTTTTTATGTGCGCGTCTCTGTGTGTGTGTGGGGGGATTTCTTAGTAATTACATTTTACATGTACTGTATATATTACTATCAAGGGATAGTAAACGTAATGCAGAATATTATAATTTATTTTTTTTTTTAACTTTAAGCAACTGGTTGATATTTTAAAATATATTTTACTGCCCATTTTACACAGTTCAAAAACACAATAGAACACTTCATACAGTTTACTATAATAAGAACAGTCGTTTGTGTTCTCGCCAAAACGAGTCTAAAAATAGATGACAATGATCCTGTTTTCAATCCCGAAGCCAATGTACTACTGATGATAGGAAGTGGGCGGGGGGCGAAGGGTAATGCTGATGACATAAGTGTTCTTCGTTGGGATAAGAATGATCTTGAACAAAAATCAACATTATCTACAAAATGTTCCACAAAAAAAAAAAAAAATGGGAGTCAATATAAACCTTTCCAAAACCAACTATAATCTGGAATTGTAATGAAAGCATTGATGGCACCTTCCCTGAATCCATAAAAATACAGCATGTGAAATTAATAAATCCTAAGCACTTCAGATACCTCGGCGTATGGATCAGCTATAAAAAAAAAAAATGAAGTATAGGAGAATGAGAAATCGAACATAGAATTGACTGTGGCAGAGGTACTTTCGCTTAGCATTCGGAAATATGAAACTAAAAGATCAACCTAAAAACTCAAGTCACGTTCTTAAATAGTCTCGTCAGATCGAGACTTTCATCTGGATGTCATGCATGGCGCTAAACATGTTCAGAAATATCTAAACTGTCAGCTGTATACAACCGCTTTCTAAGCTCAATGGTTAAAACAAAAAGCGAGTGAAGCCCGAGGGTCGTGGCAAAGATCAGCCTTCTTTGAGCATTGTGGATTGGCGCTAGAAAACAGAACTGTACCAAATAACAGAAACCACATCACTTCGGAGCTACTGACAGCAGCAACAATTAAAATGGATAGCACATGAAACTCTAAGAGAAAATAATGACATAAACAAGACATTAAAATTGCACGTCGCCCCAAATAAAAGGTTCGAAAGGAAACCCCAGTCAATACTGGAAAGAGCGATAGCAGCTACTGAATTTGTGAAACCTGTTTTCATACAAAAAATTGTTTTCAGGAAAAGATTTTATGAATTTCAACCGAAAAACGGTACTAGCTACTCTGTCAAGGAACGCCAAATATTTCCTTATAGGGAAGCGGCTAATATTACAATTACCAGATAATTGTGTGAATCTGCCAATAATTGCTTCTGCATCCAATTTTTCTAACAATTCCATTTCAATGGATAGCAACATGTATGATTCCAAGTTCAGTGAATTTCTTAACCTTGTCTTTAGCTTTGAAAATGTCCTTTCACATGAGACTTGCGTAACTGATAGTGTTCAGATGACTTCATAAATTTCTTATTCATTTTTTTTTTTTATCACTAAAGCAGTTGGCTGTTTCTTTATTGCATTTTTATTTGATATAGGGGACCCACTTGACATCGATTATTCTGACACCTTGGACAGTCTGTTGGTGACAGAATGCATGCAAGAATAGCGGATAAGATTTTCAGAAAATGAAGAAAAGATGCTATTAAAGGACCGAATATAAACAGAAACATAAAAACTGTTGAATTACAAAAGAATTTCTAAATTCCCCATTTAACAGCGAAAACCTGAACAACTGAGTTGCTTCAGACGCCATTTTTCTTTTTCGACGAATTTTAATATCAGAGCATTCGACAAATGAGAATATTTTGAAGAGACTACGAACGACAAAGAAATTCTTGGAGACTTTAGCTCACATAACATATCAAAAACAGGAAAAACAGGAAAGCAATGGTTGTCTTGACGAATTTGAGCAAATTAATTGCGGACGTAGCATCACAAAACTAAAAGGGAGCTCGTAAAGGAGCAAAAATTATTGAAAGCAACAAAAGACAGGAAAATGTGGAGACCCATTATTATCTATATCCTAAAGGAATGTTACACAGAATGAAAGAGATAGAAAATTCGATCTGCATATTTACTTCATGTTGATAACTTATTTATTCTTACCGTCAAAACATCATTGCAATTTTCAAAGTAATTTTCATTTGCATTGTACTTCAAATAAAAAAAAATCTTACCTTGTGCTGCCGCCCGATTAAATATGGAGAGAGAATAAAATAGATACATCGAATAAATAACTCCTGGTTAGTAATAAAGATCAAAATAATGGCTATAATAATAATAAAAAAATATTCCTTCGGATCTTCGAAAATAGTTTTAAATATAAACTATTTATTTTTATTAAATATAAATTTTTTAAATATAATTTTACTTTTAAATTATTTAAATATGACTTATTTTCAAATATAACTTGTTTTTGGAATATGATTTTTATTTTTAAGTATTTTGTATTTTTAAATGTAACTTTATATATTTTAAAGGTTTTTAAATACTTTTTTTATTCTTCTCTTAGTTTTAAATTAACATTTCATTCTTCATATAACCCCAATTTAATGTCATAAGGTTAATATCCGGGTTTAATTTTATAAAACCTCTCCCCTGACCACTGTTTCGTGCCTTTCGTCTGACTGAAACATTGAAAGGAATAAATTCTGTATTAGTATTTCGACGTTTTCTTTTTTCTTCCCTTTTAGCTTTCACAGCTAAATTTCTATTTCCGACACGAACTCAGTCTATCCCGGGGTTGAATAAGACCGACGAATATTTTCATCGGTCGAAATAAGCTTAATCCCATATGAGGTGATTTTGGATTTTATTGTGTATAAATTTTTGCTATGTAATAATAAATACATTGAGCTCTTTTGTGGATCACTTAATATTTTATATTACTAAGATAATATACCAACGGATTTATTGCATATATATATATATATATATATATATATATATATATATATATATATATAATAGAGATTATATAACGATATATAAATTTGTATAATGTTATATATCAACAATACTTAGAAAAATGACAAACAGGAAAAAATTTTATGTCGCGTTTCATCCGTTAGGGTTTCCTTGGACTGGGTGTTGTTGACGTTGCCCTACCTCCCTTTTCACATGAAATGAGAGACGCAGATAGTTTCCAAATTTTTTGAAAGAATATTTTTTTTTTCAATCTAGTCAAATTCATTCTTTTTCTCTCTGTCACCTATTTCCCTGGCTATCCCACACTGTGACAATATAAAATCTATCAAGAATGGTGAATTATCGGCTTACGGCCTCATCACGTTAAAACACCGGTTTTTATACGATCACAAAAGTTAAGCAACGTCTAGCTTGGTCAGTATCTAGATGGGTGACCGCTTGGGAATACTAGGTACTGTAAGCTTGGATGTGAGAGTGGTGTAATGAATAATGGCTCAGAAGTGTTAATCGGAGAATCAAATTTTAATTCCAGCTTGGGTTCGTTACGCGCAAATACCATTGGGGAAAGGTATAAATCCACCTCTTCTCCCCCAGCTATGGGTTAATAAGACGTGTATTACTAAAACCATTCAAAAATAAAATTGCGTATAAAATAGACTTCGGCATTAAATAACCCATGGAGGAGTTGATATGCCGCTAAACAACCAACACACGAACCGGAATTATCGTCATTCAGCAACTTTCTATGGTAAAGATGAAGCAGAGCAAAAGCTATAAAAAGCACAGTTACGATATCTGAATTTCTGTTTTACATTCTGGGTTGGTGACAGTCAGACAAGCATGGAACCCCCATTTTTGAGGACATCAGATAAGAGATAGGGTGTAAGTTTAAAAAAAAAAAACCAGACAGACAACAGTAGAAACTTAACCTCAAGAAGAAAAACATAAAACCAACTGCCAAAGTCGAAAACATTTCAGCAAAACTGCCAAAGTCGGAAGCATCTTTTCTTTTGTTAGAATAATGGAGAAGCAGCAAAAGAAAAAAAAAAAAAAAAAAAAATCCGAATTCATTCACTATTTATCTTTTCATTAGAGCAGACTTTCCAGAAAAATGGCCACACTTCATGATTTTCCCATTTCCACAGGCAAGTTTTATAAAAGAAACGTTTATTTGAATCTCTGTTTATTGTAATCAATATACGATTCAGAACAAAAGAGAAATGCGACACTTAGAGAAAAATGAAATTGTGGTCCAGACTTGGGAGCCGAAAAACGAACAAACGCCGACAGATATAGTTCTATATGCGTCAATTTGGCAACTTTCCATACTTTCCACGAGCATTGTAAAAAAAAAAAATAAATAAATAAATAAAAATAAAGTAAGTACGACAAAAATTCTACATCTTTTGACATTTAAAAAAAAAAATTGAAAATAGTTTGAAATACATGACAAAATTTACTTCTAAATAATTTTTGAACAATTAGTCATTTTATATTATTTCTGCTCCGATGACGTTTCAGTCGACCTGTTCTAATCTTTTTTTTTTTTTTTCAAATGTACTATCTGCATCGAAAGAGAAGCTCTCTTTTTTTTCTCTCACGAACTCAAAAGAAAATAGGAAGCATACTGAAAATTCCAAATGTCCATTACATATTATCTAAATCCTATTTCCAGCAACGCGTGCAATACAACATCAAGGACTAAGCATTAGTGTTTTACGGTTTATCAACCCGTTGTGGTTTATTTAAAGCCGAGATATATTTTGGATTTTAATAATTATTTTTGTGAGTGAATACTGCATTGAAATCTTTTTGATAATAATCTTTTGATACAAGTCTAACTATTTAACCCGTAAATGGGGGGAGACGATGGTTTCATACATTTACCAAGAGTCTTTGCGTGTAAGAGAATATAACGAACATTTAAAAGTAAGAAGAAAGATATGGTTGTCAGCAAAAGAGACAGTCCAAGTTGTTACTTACGTATCGGGGACTTTAAAAGACGCAGAAATTGAACTGTTTGGATATAACAGTAAAAGATTATTGACTGTATGACATAAAAATCCATCGGAACATAGGAATAGCGAAGAATGCCTTTCACATGCCGAATAAAGTATTAAGAGACTTGGAAAATATCATTGGCGGTGCACTTTCTTTATGTAATATCTAATCTCTTATATGACAGGGAATATTAGACAATCTACTTACTGATGAGATAAGATTTGAAACGACAAAAATGTGATTCAGTCGAGTATGCTACGAATACCATAGACACGATATGTGAGAAAGGAGAAAGTCTTAAGGAAAATCGGGACTAAAAAAATAAATAAATATTGCTAACAATGATACAGTTAAACATTTTGGGCATATGTAGAAAGGCTTGGAAACTTTAACGCTCACAAGGCGTACTAGAGGCCACAGACGCAGAGGGAAGCAGTAAGTAATCTACGTAACGAGACAGATTGAATGGATATGGCTGAACAAGAACCTCGGGGAAAAATGGGCGGTAAAGAGGCAAAAATTACTTCCAGCAACAACAAAGAAAGTTGTGGAGAGCAATGACAGCTGAACAGGCACGTCACATAAGATATTTTGTCAGTTGCTGTTTATGTTTAACAAAGCAATCGAATGTCACGTTACATTGGTTTGACTAATCCAGCTAAACGAAAACATTAATTCTTGCTCATTCTCTTATAACTTTCTCCGTCAATTATTAATAGAGAAATATATATATATATATATATATATATATATATATATATATATATATATATATACACACACTCTAGCAGCATGGCCCGGTGTTGCCCGTGCTTGATTCAAAAATCGTACGACTCCTACAGCAATCGCTATCACTTGACTTAAAATATTTTTGCCCTTCCTTGCCTTTAAAGGAGTGCCCTTTGCCATGCTGATGTTGCTACATGCCTTACTTCTTGCCTATCTTACACTGCAAATTTTTTCTAAGCTCTATACTAAACATTAAATCTGTTACGAAAAAAGAACTAAACAAAATGAACACAAAACGATCAGCTTTAAAAAAGGACTCGTAACTGTAAAAACCGAATGAAAAAAGAATGTTAACAACAAATACTTTTTCACACCCAACCCAGTTCTGCGGAATCAGAATCGACGTTGAGTTTAAGCAAGCGAATGAGCCAATTGGAGTAAAGTGCCATGCAGATTTAAATTTTTCCCACTTGTGATGAATGCAGCTATCGATTTTTTTGCATGCTACTTAACATTCGTGTCAGTCAGCTGTTGGCTCTCCCGCTGGCCAATAGAATCTTCCTGCCTATTCGTGGCAGCCAGCTATAGGCTCTCACTCTGGCCAGTAGAAAATGGCTGCAAACTACATGAAAACTACCGTAGAAGCATGAAAAATTCGATTATTTCCACTATCGATGGGAGTTGGGAAATGCAAAGTCGGTCTTGGCCTTCCCGCTAACTTGGAGCATGTGCATGTAAATTTTGGTGCAAATCCGTCGAAAATTGCTGCCGTGCATCCGTTATCCTGCCTTTTTATATATATATATATATATAATGCGTGTGTGTTTCTCCTTCCAGATATGTATTTCCACAACAGATACTCCGTTTTCTTTTGGATATAGCTTTTCTGTGAGGGCGGCTGGTCTCTCTCTCTCTCTCTCTCTTTCTCTTCTTTCTCTCTCTCCTTTCTTTCTCTCTCTCCTTTCTTTCTCTCTCCCCTCTCTCTCCTTGCTTTCTCTCTCCCCTCTCTCTCCTTGCTTTCTCTCTCCTCTCTCTCTCTCCTTGCTTTCTCTCTCCTCTCTCTCTCCTCCTCCCTCTCTTCTCTCCTCCTCCCTCTCTTCTCTCCTCTTTCTCTCTCTTCTCTCCTCTTTCTCTAATTTGCAGTATTAATACTCCAACCACATGTAGAAAAATATTGAAATTAGAAATGGCTCCCCAAAGGACATTTTCCAATTCGATAAATTCAAATATTAATATTGCAAAGTCAACTTGATTTTGACTAACAAACACGTGAAGACCGAGATCATATTTCTGATTACACCTTAAGGAATTGTCCAGGTTGGAACTCTGAGAATATTAATAAGCGAGTGGAGGTGTTGAAATAAGATTAGCCTCGATGGAAATTTTTTTTTTTTAAATTGCCGGTTGAGGTGGTGACGTCTATTTGGGACTCAAAAGTATTTGAAATTTCCCTCAAATTTTCTCGTCAGAACCAAGTTTATTTTTAACTACTTAAACCCCCCCCCACCCGATGTTATAAAATCCATAAATAATTTTGGATTTGTTCAGCTACACTTCCTGATAATATTCTAGCCGTTGCTAGACAGTTGGTATTTCTCGTTTTCATCTTTCTGTTTCGTGTCATCGAAACAACCAATGGAGTGTGCTTTAATTTGTGGTGAATACGAAATAACAACTTTTTCTCCGCTGCTTTCAAATTCACGAACCTATGTGAAAATTCATTTTGACCAATGAAAAACGGAGCGACTTACAGAATGAGAAAAAGGTAATGAGCCAATGTGAAAACCCTTTTTGATATAAATAGAGAGAGGGAAAGAGTTCCACGCATCTAAATAACACCAGTGTCAAATTACACGTTGATACATTATCAGCCTGTAATGTGAGCAGGGCAATTTTAAAATATCTTTTCATGTTGAATACAACTGTATAACTTTTATGTGAAAAACGAACTCTCTCAATTTGTTTTAAACATTTTGGTATATTACTTTGTGTCTGATGATTTAGGAACATTTTCTCGTCTTGACAAGTCATCGAAACGACGAACTTTAAATATTCGATTCCTTTTCCTGAAACAAGCTACTGATAACTTCAAATGTGTAAACTTGGAAATAAATTCTTTATCTTGTTTTGTTAAATATAACACATGTGTTTTCTTGTCATTATCCCTCAATACTTCAAATTCATTTTACAGTTTCATAGGATGATTTCTTTTGACATTTTGCTAGTGTTGATATTAAATTCAGATACAGCACCTATGTCGTTTGGTTTTTATAATAGTTCTATATTCACTTTATGTACGCTTTACATGCCAAAAATGAAGTTCTTTTTACCAATATCTTTTTCCTAGATGGTCTGATTGAATCCATTTCGTTTAACATGACCTGTATATCGAACTGAGGTGCCAGAGTATAAACGAGCCATCTACGTACATAAGCCATACTGAAGGCTACAACAAGTGTATCTCAAGAAAATGTCTTCAAAATAAATCCAAATTGTCGATAAACCGGAGAACCTATAGCTCGGCCTGCTTCCTGTAGATATATATCTGGCTGAAACTGAACACATGGAGTTTTTAGGTAGTCTTCGTGTAACAACGGAGTTCTATTCCGACCACCTTCTACCAAATCGCTTCTGATGTAAGTCGAATACCTCTCCTTTCGTGAGTTGTAGCAGTAATATCTTTTAAAGTCCGGGTATTTTTTTTGTTCTTGAGGGTTAGAAAACAAAACATTTAGTAACAAATACAATTTGGCATTTCGATTTATTGAAATGATAATGAAATAACATAATGTAAAATATATACGAAATAATGTAAGAGAAAAAATGGTAACTTGTTCAGATGTTTTTTTTTTTTTTTTTTTTTTTTTCCTAGATAAAATATATCCTGTTCAATATATTGGTGACAAATTTTGTCAATTTTCCCAGCTCATTCTTTTGACGATTGGCATAAATATTATTTAGGTGAAATTAAGATGTTACAAGTTTCGATCGTTTTTATCGACATGTCATCTTGTGCGAGGTGTACCCACCAATCCGCCGCTACAAGCTTCAAATGCTGCCAAACATAAAAATATAGAAGATATTTACAAGCTTATTTATAGGATAACTTTATTAAGCGACTAATGCGTAAAGTAAGCCGAAATAACGTTAGGAATTCCTGTTCTCTAAGCGAACAAAGCGATTGTGTATCCATTAGCGTGCAGTACATCCTCTAATATCGTTAGCACACGTACTTGGTCATCGTCTAAGGGCGCGGGACCGAGTGATTATAATATTCAAGACTCTGGTTCGAATCGCACCATGGTTGACTTGTCAAAGAGGTGCTTTCTTGATAATATCGGCCTGGGGAGATGATCCCAGTGTGCGGCATACTACTGGTAGAACCAAGCCATGTGAAAGAAATCCCTTTCCTTACTGTCTCCCTACTCCTGCCATCGTAAGCCCCGGGATGAATCGGATTTCATTCACGAGTGTCGTTCGGCCTTGATGGTCATTCCTCGGTCCAGTGACCTTTCTCGGCCTAAGAGTCTTCTATCGCGAACTAGTGGAGAGAGTCGCAAAGGAACCACTACGTGAGCGGCTTGACATGTCGGGTGGGGGATGTTTCGCTCCTTCTGGTCTTGGGCGTCAGCGGCAGATTACCTCAGCAACTCTGAGTTGTCGCTTCCTTGGCGACTGGTTCGGAATAGGCTACCTCTCAATAACATGGCCTTCATACGGACTGCAAACGATGTGACCTTGGTCTGAAGGAAACGACCGATCACGCCTTCTGCCATTTGTCCTCGGGTCCGCCCCCGCCCATGGGACCATGTCAGCGAGTTGACGGCTAGTATCGCTCCCGAAAAGCTCGTGCTCATCGATTGTGCATACGTGTGTGACAATGTGTCACTCCCGTGTGAAACAAATGGTGTTTCTATCGTTGCTGGCCACGGCCCGAATGGTGATTTGGACGAAAGGAGGAAGTCTTTTGCATCCGGCGTCTGGTCCGATTCTTTTGAGCACCATCTCAAGAAAAATATTAGAACTGACAGGAAACTGTTGGTCTCGATAGTCTTCAGCGAGAGGTGGGTGACTGAGGCGAACTTGGTTCGTATGAACAGGGCTAGCCTTGATTTTCTCTTTTAGGTCCACCTACGTCACATCGGGGCGGTTTCCTGGTTAACTTAGCCCACTTTTTGTGTACCTAGTTAATGTGAGAAAGTGCTGTCCCCGGCTGCATTCTTTGTTATGATCCATGTCTAGATTTCTTGGCTCCCCACTTTGATTTTTGCCCCCTCCTTTTTCATCTCGATTGGATCAGCCCTTTTCCCCCTCTTCTCGTGGATGTTTATTTTATCCTTTCTTCCCTCTGCCTTAGCGAGAGAGCCTCTTGATTTTGTCTAAAAGGTAGAATACAGCGGCATCTTTCTTTTGACGGATGGACGGGTCCAATTAACATAAGTTTTTTTTTTCTTTTCTTTTATATTTTCGTTTGTTTTTTTGGAGGGGATCATCTCCGCCCCCTCATCATTCGTAAATGTTTGTGGAAAAAAAAATCATGGAATTTTCATGTCATGGGGTGCGTTTTTGTAGGCCCCCTGAGTGTATGAGGTATTATGGTGAATGGAATTGGTGATTGATGACGGACACGTTCTTTTGGTGAATGTGCTGAATTGTAACGAGTGAATGGGTCGCCAATCGGATTAGCTAGATATAGGATAACAGTGATGACCAGTCTCAGCTCAACCCCCACCTTTTTCGGCCTTGTGCCACAACTTTGTAATTTTACAAAATAAATCTCGTGAGTGAAATCAGACAGAGGAAACTGTTCAGAAGCTCTCGTTGACACGTGTAAGAATTGATAATCGTTTTCTGTTGCTGCCACCCCATTCCTTAACGCGATATTTTTTTTAATCAATTAACCCCAAGCAAGGCGATAATGCCACTAAGACGCAAGGGTGTACTGGGCGTGAAAGAGAATGAAAAACTTTAGAAGGAACCGGAAACCTAATCCTAAACAGGAAACAAACCTCTACTCTTGTTCAAACCACCGGGGCATTGCACTTGACACATTTCCGTCAATAACTCTTGTGATTGTTAAAAAAGAAACCTTTTGAATAAATGCAGACATTCCTCGCTTACCTTTACGCCACTTTGATTTGACGAAAGGCCGATATGAGGACAGGTCCCCCCCCCGCTATATGAAATTGCGTAAAGCGAAGAAGTAACCATTAATTTGACAGATTTCAGTCTGCCTTGAAGTCGAAGATCGAGTCTTATCGTTTTTCATTGGCTAATGTGGAAGGCTTGAAATATAATAGTTTTAACTGCTCAGCATGACGCACTTTTTTTTATCGTACCGTTCCTCGTGGGCAGTTAAAGATTATGCAGACGTACCTTAAAGCTACGGATTCTTTTCAAATGCAACACTATAATTTTCTACTGCCATTGCAGCATTTTCAATTTTAACGAAAAGGTGTTATTTGGTGGAGAATCTGGGAACGCTTGAAAACATTTCCCATTTAAATTAGTGATAATTACTTAGTTTTACGCCATTTCATTATATGAAAGGTTCCAGAACATTCCACTTTAGGATAGAGAGGGAAATCTGTATTTTTCTTTTATTCCACAATATTAACATAAATAATTGTAGTATAAATTCTCCGTACAAAAATTACATGACCATTAGAATTTCTATTATAAATATTAATAATCCTTTTATATATATTAAAAAATTGAAACTAAAAGTATCACGAAAGAATAGGTTGTTATTAATTTGTCTCGACATTGTAAAGTTTAACTTTGTATGGCACAAGACCAAACGGGAAGTGAGAGAAATAGGGATCGGAACATTGTGTTGCGATTTCATAATCAGCATTCAAACTCCTAGCTTTTGACTAAGCTTGAATACGAACACAGTTGATCAATGCATAAATATCTCATCCACGGTTCAATATTTATGTGCCGTACCCATTCACAACATGGACAATCATGGCTCTCCATAATTCCCTGTACCTTTGTAGGTCTAAGATTTAACACTTTATTACTCCTTGTCCATGTTCTTCCATTCATTTATATAAATCTATTAAATAAGTTACTCGCTCTTTCCTTCTACCTCTCATTCCTTCAATACGTCCTGTGAGTGTTAAGTTTTCCAAACCGCCCTTCCTACTTTCTAATTCCTATTTTCTTTCGAACTTCACTCGTTGTTCTGTCCACGTTATCCAAACCTCTCACTTCCGGTTTCTTCATCTTTTTGGAAATTGTCCAGCATTCACTGCCATATAGGAGGATAGATGATGTCGTTTCTTTGTTTCTAATGAACTATTCTTATGTCTTAATACTTTGCTTCGTTTCTGGAAGTCATCTTTTTCTATTCTCATGCACCTTCGGATCTTTGTGTCATATATCCTAGATAGTTTAATATCTGTACATGCTTTGTTCTTTTGTCCTCATTTCTTTGGTCATATCGAATAGTTTGTTGCCATGGTTCTTCTTATTATTTTAAAAAGCTGATTTTGGTGGCAGTGGTTTCAACATTTTCGACTTGATAGGCTTGCATAAAATAACGGAAAAATCTACGAGCAATCTTTAAAAATAACTTGTTTTTTACGGAATTAATTTTTTTTTTTTACAGATAACCAAAAATTTTTTTTTTTTACAGATAACCAAAAAATAGCGTCATTTTCAGTTAATAACATCTGATAATAAATTCAACATCAATCTGTTATAAACAACGTAAAAACACCGGTCCCGCTACGATCACAGAAGTTAAGCAACGTCGAGCCTGGTTAGTACTTAGATGGGTGGCCGCTTGGGAATACTAGGTGCTGTAAGCTTGGATGTGAGGGTGGTGTAATGCATAATGGTTCTGAAGTGGAAATCGAGGAACAAAGTTCAAATTTCTGTTGGGTTCGTTATATTCACTTATGTGCAAATATTCTTGGGAAAGGCATGAAACCACCTTTTCCCTCTGCTATGGCTTAATTAGTAAGACTTTTATCACTAAACCATATATATATATATATATATATATATATAAAATTTCTTACAATCTAAAAATATTTTCTGACTTTAAATAACCTGCAACGGGTTAAGCCATAGAAAACGAATCAATCAATGTTATAAACATTTTCTAGTACATTAATATGTATATTGTAGACTTAGTAAACACAGCCACTCCATACTTAACAACTTAGCTGGTTAATGATCACTGGACTTAGTATAAAATCTCTATATATTATATATTAGGTACATGCACAAAATATAGGCAAGGCTTAAAATGCCTTTTAAAAATGAAAAATCTTTCTTGAACCTTTTTATTTTAGTTTTAATTCTAAGCAAATAGATTAAATTTAATATTTCCAATGAGCAAAATACTTTGCTCTATATCAAATCGAATTTAAATTGATTGGAACCATTTTGTTAAATCACTAAAATCAGTCATATTGATAAATCTGCCAACGCAATTCTCTATATTAAAGAAATCTTTGAAAAATAGAATTTTTTGATACGTAATGTAAGGAAAATTAAGATTTAAAGCTTATTTGATTTACATTAAAATCAGTTATTACTTAATTTTATTTTAAAATATAGTAGAAAAGTATTTAACTCTAAAGTGGATTTTTTATGATGTGTTGACCTGATACACTAAATGTCTGAAACAATAAAATTTTCAGTATTTTTATATAGAAATATATATATATATATATATATATATATATATATATAATTTTATATCTGAAAAAGTGATTCATTAAAATGAATATCGAAAAAAAAAAAAATTCCTAACATTTACAATGTTATAAACATGCAAACTTGTCAAATAAAATTAACAGTATTACCTGAGTATTTTAGAATTTTTGTAGATACTGAAAATCAATTGCAAGTTAATGAGTCCCTGACAGTTATTGGTGAATCACCAATCAAGCATTAAAAAAAAGTTATGAGAAATAAAAAGTAGAAAAAAATGAAGGGAGCAGTATCAAAGAAAATTAAACTGATTTTGACTAAAAATTTCTCAAGAATTTACAAGTGTAGAAGAGCACAAAAACATCTGATGAAAGTGAAATTATTAGACAATTAAATGTTTTCACCTTGTGAAAGGATGTTTGAAAAAGTATAAATTTTGACATTACTTCCAGAAAGCTTGAGTATCCAAAAAATTCAAATGGAATTTGACTGTGCAACATACATGGCAAGACAAGCTAGAAAACTTTTAAGTGGACAAGGAATATTATCTCTACCAAATATATGAAAATGTAGATTCCCACATGAGACAATTGATGGGGTTGTGCTGTTTTATAAGAGAAGAAGTCAGCAGTGATTCCTGGAAAAAAATAACTTGGACAGTCTTAAAGAATGGTAGGTTTCAGAAACAAGTGTTGTGTACTCTGTAACATGAAAGAGGCATATCAATTATTTAAATAAAAAAAAATCTCAGCAGAATTACAGAATTTGCTGAGTTCTGACCCAAATAATTTATTGTAGTAGGTGGTGCTGGAACATACTGTGTCTGTGTTTGTACAATATATCAAAATATCAATGATGATTGTAAAAGTTCATCTTGGTACATGACTCAAGATGAACAATATCATTTAACATATTACCACCAATGCATAACTGCTGTTACATGCAATAAAGCAACCCCTAACTGATACTTGTTTGACTGCTCAATTTGTAGCAGTTTGATGGAAGATTTTGCTTTATTTATAAAATAAATTCTAAAAAATTTAATTGATAATTTTATCAACAAACAGCAGCTATCAATTGATAGAACCACACTACAAACTGTATCATAATCTACAGAAGAATTTGTTGAAACTTTTTGCATAAGACTTCAATGCTGAAAAAAAAAGCATGATTTCATTGCCAAAAGCAATCAAAATTTTGTTCTAATAAGAAAAGTTCTTTGATGGATGGTGAAGTCATTGATTGTAGATTTTGCTGAGAATTATCCATTTATTCTGCAGAATGCCACACAAAGCATCCACTGGAATAATTCTCATGTCACATTACATTCATTTGTCTGTCATTACAGAAATGATAGCTGAAGCATATTAATATTGTAATTATATCAGATTGTCTCAAGCCATGACACAGTAGCTGTCCATTTGGTTGAAAGAAATCTTACAGAAATACTGAAAAAAAATGTTAATTTTAAAATAAAATATCTGCTCTATTTCTTTGATGGTGCCACTTAACATTATAAAAATTTAATCAATTTATGCAACTATAAGGATGACTTTTATATTGATGCAGAGTGTCAGTTTTTTTTTTTTTTTTTTTTTTTTTTTGCTACATCTCATGAGAAAGGACCATGTAGTGGGTCAGGTGGTACTATTAAGAGATTAGTAGCAAAAACAAGCCTGCAGTGACTCAATAATGAACAATGACACCAAGACAGTTATTCGATTATGCAAGAAAAAACATTTCAAGCATAAATATTTTGTATTCCTCAACAAAAGAATTGAAAAATGAAGCAGAAATCTTAGAATAACATATCTCAACAATTACAGAAACTAAAAAATTACATAGTTTTATTCCTGTATCTCAGGAAGAGATAGAAGTAAAAACTGTGTCCACTCAGGATGGAAAAAGTAATTAAAATTATAAAATGGGCCAATATAGAAATTGGTGGTTAGGATGTGTGTTCAAAAAATACCCTGATAATAAAAAGATAACATTGACATTTTTACAACTGAATAGTTCTTCCCCATCTTTCTGTTATTCATTACATCTAGATACATTAATTTTAAATTACTCTGATATCACTTTAGTTGATCTGATAACTGACACTGGAAGAATTTATAAATTTCTGAAAATTGAGATGGAAAAAAACTTCAAATAGTTTAGGAAAGAGAATTTCTTGAAATAAACTTAGATACAATCAAGGTTGGTCATTACAAAAAGATTTGAGTGAAAATGTAAGTAGTTTGCAGATCCAAATTTTTATTTTCTATTTAAACATTCATTCCAACAAGAAAATGATTTTGTTTCTTAATCTTTGTAAAGGTTAAGAATCTTTTTTTTTAAATATTCATTCTAATGTATTACTTCTTTAGATCAAAACTTTATTTTTAAATATATAAAAATACTGAATATTTGATTGTTTTAGTGTACCATGTTAACAAGAGTTTAGCCATTAAAATAATTTCTTGTACATTTTCATATTTTATATTATCTTAACATTAATCCATGATGCTTTTTTTAAATAATTTCATTGTCAATTTTTTTCATATAAAAATCTGTTTGATGAAAAATTAAAATTTTCAACAAGACAAAAAATATTATTTTCTACCAAATTGGTCAACATTTAATCACAAATAACACAAATTCTGTTGATTTTATGATCATGATTCTTATGTATATAATAATCAGCATTCAAAGAGCATTTTAATGACATACAACTTGACCATATTGGGAGATATGAAAATATTAGCATAGAGTTGCAAATACCAATATCTGCCATTTTGAATTTGGCCCAACTCAGTAAAACCCTTGTAACTCAGACCATAATCAAAAGTCCACGTAAAATCTTGTAAGTATCTTCCCATAAAGCAGACAAATTTATTGTCTAATTTAAAAAAATATTAGATGCCTTTTTTGAGAAATTAAAGGTCAAATTTTAAGTTTAAGGTCAAATTATCTTATTTGACTTTCAAACAAAAAAATTAAATAGATCACCTTTTTAGATCTATCCAAGTACTTTAAAATGGTATACAAGTTATCTATATCAGTGAAAAAGAAAATTGAGATATTGATATGTAAATTTTGACTATTTTCCAAAATTCACCTTTTTGGCAAAAGTTGATGGATCATATGGCTGGGACCCTTTGACCTAAAGATGCAAAATAGGTACCATTCAATTTCTACCATGAAGTTCTTATAAGTGTACCAAATTTGGTAAAAATAAAAAATCTGTGTCTTTGATGGTCAGATCCTTGTTGATGTGATTTTGTAAAAATAAAAAAAAAATGTAAAAGATTAAAATTACCAGCATTACATTTCTGTAATGAAAAAAGTACCAGCAATACATTCTTGCAAAAGAAATTACTAATTCTCCCAAAATATTGTTTCAGCATGAAATGACTCTTATGAGTTGATATGCTACTAAACACACACTTAATATCATCTAACTGGTACAAATTAATACAGAATTTTAAGATTTATAACAAAGTGTTCATAATATATCTTATTCATAAAATCAATTAAAAACATTTTTAATTAAATAATGTCTTAGTTTTATTTTACGATTCAGAGAAGTTTATTGTACCTTGGGGTCCTGGTTAAACAAAAATATTTTATTTAAATTCTCCAAGGACTTGTCCTTATAACAAATATAGACATTAAATGCTACAAAAATGAATGTATCAAAATTTGATAAAATGTCAGTAACAAATGTAAAAAAATATTTTTACCATAATTTTGCAAAGAAAAAATCAAATAATTTCTTCCATTTGGGATTAAGTCCTGAAAGTTTCATTAAAAATTCAGCAATTTTCTGATTTTTGAAAGAATGTCTAAATCAATGTGCCTTTCCCACAAAAGATGCTCAAATTTCCCATGCTAATTCATGGTCTACCATTGATGCCAAAGAGACAAGGATTTTAACTAAAATTTCAAAGATTCTAAGGAGGATGAAAAAATAATTTTACACAAGAAAAATTCTTTGGTCTTTCCTCTCAATAATAACAAAGCTTATAAAACTGTTTTATTAAATTTTGGGACATTCTTTCACTATGTATGGTAATTTTTAGCAAATCTTTGTAGGTACCCCCATATCTTATATATATATATATATATTCATATATAAGTTTATATATATTTTCTTTATA